AAACAAAACGAAGCGAGCGTAAATAGAGGTAAGCAAACTGGAATACGTTAGTTCATCATACTCTGCTACATTTCCCACCACGGGCGCTGTTGTAGAAACGTTCATAGGTCAAGCAAATCCAATGCATAAACTATGTATCCGAAAACATTCACTCCATTCAAACAAGAATTCTTTGTGCAGATAGGTATATATGAACTATCCATCGTGTTAATGGCTGCTTGTGTGTCTATCGAAGTAAAATGAAGACAAGATTCCTATTTGCGAGAGCGAGTGTCTTTGGACGAAGGGAAGATTAAGCAGTGGATAATACGGGGTCTGTAAGAGTTATTAGTCGTTGAATTTTAGGGCAAAAAAATTGAGTTGACGAGTTTGAAGGTGGGTGTGTTGTTGCTGTTGCTGTTGTTGTTTGTGGGATGAAAAATGGAGGATAAGATGGTGGTTTGGTGGATCGCTGAATGGATTTTGATAAATCATCTTTTGATCAATTATGGACTGGGTAATGAGTTACCCAATAGCTTTTTTCGAACCAGCGGGTTTTATTGCGTTCCGAAAAAGAAAGTTTGAAAACCATTCATTGTGAGCACTGGCTGTAGAAGCAAGGAGCTTGTAATTATAATACTTCGACGTAGGAAGACTGAGTTAACGGAGTATAGATCGTCATCATAATCTATAACTGAAGGGTGAGCTCAGCTATTGTAGAGCGTATATATAAACTAACAGACATGCATGCGCATACGAGAGTTCGCACTGTGATTGATGTGTACGATCCGTGACAGGGCCAAAGTTATCACGTGATTCATTAGGCGACGAGTAACATGATCATGGATAGTTCAATTCTCGATTATGTACAAGAGTATGTCGCGGTTAATGCACACAAGACTTGAGACTCGAAGAGGTCTGACCCGAGGGCGACAGAATGCACTGTGAGCTCCTTCTCTTCCATCCAGTGCTCGCAACCGGTAGGTTTCGTACCTTCCTTCACTATACTCAACTTAAATCATTAGTCCAAAACCAGCGGTTGGTTCATCTGTGATCCAAATTATTGATTGGTTGCAATTACATGCTAGACCTTATTGATAGAGGTCAAATAAATCACAACGAGAAAGCTATGAAGAAATTAGAGCCTTATAGATGTCTCCATCTCTTTCACAATAAAAGGTCGCTTACCTAGTTCAAGCTAGTCTTAGACCAAGGTTGGCATGATGAGTAATCACATATGTATTTGATATTCTTTACAACTAATGATATAGTGACCTATTCTACTAACGAAGCTTTCAGCCAAAAATCGACCCAAACAATCAGTCATGGGTCACCATTCTATACCGCTCGACTCAAACCAACTCATGATTCACCAAATCTAACCTTATCACTCTACCCACCCATTAGGAGCACTACTCACATCCTCACTTTCGATAGTTTGAATTACATGATTGATAATTATATAATCAGATATATAGCTAATCAGAATCATTGTAATACATGATCAGCTTGCTGAAGCTTGAGTAGTTTCATGTGATGTTAGAGTTTGCTGTAGGTATATGAAGGCTCGCATTATAATGACTACTGTATTCAGACTAAGAAATCAAAAAAGATATGTCTCTTGATGACTGTGAATCCATTCGACCAAACTCAATCAAATTATTGGAGAAATCGAATGTTATAAATCATACTGTGAAACTATTCTCAGTCTAATCATCACTTTTCGACGAGCACAGCAACTCTTACAGCAGACTCTGTAAAGATCTATACAGGATACGTTTGTGTGAACATAATAATTATACATGTCAATAATCAATCTTAACGAAAACGTAATAAAATAAATGTATCAAAATATCAAATTTGTGTGTCAGTGCTGCATTTGACCAGGAGCTAAGAAGGAGGGTGTGATTACAGTTTCTCTTCGTAGATTAGCTCTTCTCTCTTCACAGTTTTCACAGCACAATCCTTGCTCCTTCCTAAAAAAAAAGTGATTTCGATTCCGATCTCGTTTTTTTCCTGGCGAAGTTGATTCTGATTCACGAGACTATGAAGTCAAAAAGAGGGAAGAGTATCAAGGGGACATGTGACCAAAAACTAAAGAGAAGAATATAAATATAGTTTCTCTTTGTAAATTAGCTCTTCTATTTTATAGTTTATAGCAATCAATGAAACTGTTTGATCCCTATGGTTCTTTGATACCCCACTCTATGAAATTGTAGATGCGTATGTACCCCAAGCCTATTTCATTTCAACCTAAACTTGATTCAAGTTTTTTCTATTTTTCCTAATGCATGTCTTCAAGCTTTTCATATCATATATTGATTATCAACGATGTAAGTATAGTCCTCAGAGTGCTCGGAAAATCTTTTATTACTACTAATACCAGGGAAGAGCACCCGGCCAGACTTACCCGGATAAATCCGAGTATACTTTTTGAATATTTTTATGGATATCTATTTTGCTATATATTACAGGGTAGGGTAAGACCTCTATGAAATGCTTTTGAACGTGAATATATCTCAGAGTATAATTGTGTGGTATTCATGTGATATTTTGAGCTGTGACTCAATCAATTATTGGATTATATAATCATATGATTTTATTGTATGACATTTTCTGGATTGTTGATATGATTGAGAATGATTTAATACTAGACATTAATGAGACGACTATATGGTAAATCAAATGATATATGTTCTAAATAGTCTAGACAATCAGTTTCTTCTCTTCTTTCGTATTCTCCGGGTTCTCGTCCAGCTAGCTATATGCCTTTGTTTAGGATAGAATAAATACCCAGAAAGGCTAAAACGCCGAGTAGGGCACGGGTGTCCATGTCTAACTAATAGAACTTCGTACTAATTTTATTGCTTTAAGATGAGCATAGATGACGTATTACCTACGAACCTGGGTCCTAATTGTCAATATTGTACTCTGTTACAAGAGCTAGATGTGTACGGAAAGAAGCAATCTTTATATTTGAGTCTAGCCCTCTCCCTAAGTATACTACAGTAGTCTACTGACTTATTAAGGTGTCAAGGTGTGCGGGGAACTAGGGCAAGTAATGAAATATAGAATTCTGTGAGGACTAAAAGGAATCCTTCGGATTCCTGAACTAATATAGCTAGTGATTAGTTAGTATCATATGATCTGAAGAGCGTCGCTCCTTTACATAAGGTCATTTATCTACTTTAATTTAGATATGGTAATTTCAGATATATCTTAAAAGATATAATTCTTATTCTTATCGCTGTCTAACTAGAATATATGATTCTATTAATATTTAAATAAGTTAAAAAATAAAAAACTGAAAAAATAAAAAAATAAAAAATAAAAATAAAAACATTAGATGATATATCATGTCACGGGGTGACACTAAGCCCTTTCTGTCCTGTCCTGTCCTGCTATATATGTGAGAGTAAGGTAGAACTTCCAGTTCTACCTCCTAGTCTTTTGGGCGTTTAGCTCAGCGGTAAAACTTCTGAATACTCCCAGAGGTGATCCCGTGACATATCAGACTGATCCTAAAATAAGATAAAAGTATATTAGACAAAAGAAATCGTTTTGAGTAAAATTGTTCGTATGATATTTATTTTTATTTATTTATTTATATTAGTTAACGTCTGTTTTGGACCTCCCTAAGGGTATTTAGACGTGCTAAGATAAGGAACTATTTGAGCGGCGTGATCGTCGCGACCGAATTTAGCAATTTAACTTCAATGCCATATACTATACTATACTTCGTACTATACTAATCTATAGAGCGTTATATTAAAAATAGAATACTCTAATTCTCTATTTAAAGTATAATAAATGAAGTATATAATTCGAATTGAACTTTGCTCTCTAATAATATACTTATATTTAAAATCAAATTGTTATAGAAATCAAATAATATAAACTGATAATTTCTAGATGATTACTATAATTAATTTTTAGTAATATTAATCATAATATAAGTTAAAGTCTAAAGTACTAGAATAGATATTAATATTATATCGAATTATTAATTTAGATATAATTATATTTTCGACTTTTAGTTATAGATGAGAACTATAATTAAGATGTATATTATAAACTATGTATTTATATTATTTTATTTTCTTTAAGAGAAATTAAGCTATATATAATATATAAGACTTATAAGAATTATATACTATAAGCTAGTAATCCTTAAAGAATAAAATATATATTGAGTTCTACTATTGTAAATATATACTATAGTCTAAGAAGTTAATAAAAATATTAATATATATCGATCTTAATATAATATTTTAGTTATAATCAGATGAGAGTATTATAATTGTATAATTCAAGTATATATGATAGACAAAGAAGGATAGATTAATTTTAGCTTAAATTAAAGGAAGAGATTATAAATCTAAAGCGATTACAAGAATCACATGCTATAGACTAATTTCATCAAGGCAATAGATAGTTTTTTAGAGTCTGATCTGATTAATATTGGTTCTCAGCTTTAGAAATAAGATGAGTAACGATCAAAATGATTGTGAACTTTGATTCTTTAAAAGACGAGATCAATGTCATTATACAACTAGAGTATATGTAATAAGGTTTATTCTCTATTTAGGAATTACGAACAACTCTTCTCGAAGAGGAAAACCCCGGAAAAGACAGGACTAGTTCCGGAAAAAATGATTCACCTTAACTAACTTTACAGACAATTGTAGTTTCGGAGAGTGTCTGATGAAGAATATAACCATTTTATAAGTGCTTTACATCTGTATCTTTATTAACATCTCTCATTCTAGCTAATTAATAACATCAGTGAGTCAACAATCAGTCTTAAGTCTATATTGGTTGTTTTTCCTACCTCAAAGTGTGGATATTTAGGGTTATATTGATACTAAAGAGAAGATACGAGACATCTTGATGATCATTTGATAGTTTTTCTTAAGCATCGCATGTTATTTTCTAGTACTAATATGCATAATCTCCATGCTAATCCTCTAAAAATCATAAATGACCCCCGAGAATGCTCAAATTATTGATAAAAATGGCTATCAACCCTCAGAAATAGGCTTTGAAGCACCAATCTCAGCTGCATCTGCTTCCTTATCTCCATTCTCATCATCCGACGTACGCTCCGAGTCACTGATATCGGTGTCACAATCGACATAAATCGGAATCTTTCCACGGTATCTCCTAATTAACTGCTTAATTTCCTCATGAATATCAGGCCAATGGTAAAGGATGTTCTGAATCTCGGAGCTTGAGCGCTCTGGAAAATGTCCCTCGGTCTTAGTATAGCCTCCACCTCTAATGACCGGAACATCATCAATGGTGAGACTACGCGAGATTAATAGTGCCATAGGTAATCCAGGAAGTCTCTTATGGCCAGAAAACTCCTCATTCTGAGCGTCTGCAATAAGCTGCCAATCTTCTTCATCTAGATTGGCCTTCTTTGCCTTCACTGCATCCAGAATATGTGCCTCTAGGAATGCTCTTTCCCACTCTGTCCACTTATCATTCTTTGGTTTAGGTGGAGGAGGAGCAGAATAGACTCTTTTCTTCGCAGCAGGAGGAAAGCTTCCAGGAAGTCTGCGACGTAAGATAGCGTTTGCCCATTCGTTGAGCTTTGCGACAGTGACCTTTCCCCCTTGGCCTTTCTTCCAGTTTCGTCTAGTACCCGCGTATTTGTACTCCCATACTTGATTGTTATCCGCTACTAGCTTGACGGTAGCAGGAACTATCTTGGTGAAGGGGTCAAGCATCGCAGCCGCGTTCTTGACAAGGCTGAACGTGGCTTCAAGATTTGAGCGTGTTGTAGCGATTTGTCCATTGAGAGCGACCGGGATCTAAAGAGAAAGAAGTTAGATATTGAGAGGTAAGAGAATTGACCAACCGATACTTACGGCAAATGACGGAACAGAACTTCTAACTGGAGGGCTAAAAGCAATTGAGCGCGGTGGTGGGGGTTGCATAGTTCCGGTGTCTGTATTCTCGGTCTTCGAGCCTATTGTGCGTCCTCTCTTTCTCGCGGGCTGCTTCTACAAGTTAGCACATGGTCAAATGAAGAATAAACGTAATACATACAGGAAGTAATACACCCCAAGGGCCTTGGGTAGCATTTCTTGATCCAACAGCTATGCTTCCCAATGCTTGCAAGTCTACTGATGGTTCCATGCCTCCCATATATGAGTCTCGTTGAGAGGACCATTGATTAGCGGGGGCAGATTGCTGAGCAGAGGAGTGACGAGCAGCGTTAGATTGCATTTGACGACGTTTTCTTGGGTTGGGGGACATCGGTGTTGGGTAGAATGGAGCGTTTTGGGGATTCAGTGCCTCGGTGAGTGGATTGTAGCTTATAGGGCCTGAATAGTGGAAGTTTCCAGAACGAGGTTGAACACGGTCTGTCATAGCCTGATCAGCTACTTGACCAGAAGATAAATCTTTTCTTGGTTGTAATTGTGCCCTTTTCGGGTGATTAGCGCCTGGTGCGTTATCATTGCGAGCCCGAGACAATGACCGCGTGTTTTCAGTGTTGATTGTTCGCAAGTAAGACTCTGGTATCTGGACTCGATTCGGCAACATGGCAGGTACAGGATTGTTAGACAGTCTTTGATGTCCTCGAGGATTAATAGGGCCAAGGTAAGGAGCGAGAGCTGCCGCATACGCGGGACTGGTGCTTCTTCTTGCTCTCAGAAGGTGTGGTGGAACTTGGGAAGAACTTGGGACCCTTTGAAGACGCTGACTTCCGATTAACCCACCTCTTTGCGGTCTTCTTTCTCTAGCACGAAAATTTGGAGCTGTAATATCCTGTTTGGAGCTTGCATCATTGCTTTCGATGGATGGGAGTGGATCGTCTGGGTTTAGACCCGATATTGGGGCCATCGAGTCGTCATTTTTTTGATTTTTGCCCTCCATTACGCCAACAGTTATAGTATTTGTAGTCGCAAGAGATGGTGACGAGATAGAGGCGATCTTAATGGGCAGTCTTCTGTTCAAAAACTATGTATTATAGCAAAACAAATGTGTCTGATAGAAAATCGTTGTTAAACGCTGTTAATATAGAGGTGGAAAGAATTTATTAAGAACAAATTCGGCGAACGTTCGATTATTCGACGCAAAAAAAAACACTTAAAAGTATTAATCACAAATTTTCAAGACTACGGCAGAGATTCTACCACTTTTTTACATTTTGTGGCGTGATTCATTCCATTTGCCAATCATACAAGGCTGCTTGGTAAGGCTAATCAGTCATATAATACAGTACAAGGCTTTGCCGCTTTGAGAAGCGGTCGAAGAGGGGGCATCTAGCGTTCTGTTGTATTCTTATATAAGTATGGTGTCATATAGAAGCCTCTGTTTTGCCTCATTTGAACGTCTTGCTTTGGCGTATTCTTTTGCTTGCCTGCTGTATTGCATCTAATCCTACTCCAACACTTTTAACCAGGACTAGAGATCAGTGTGGCTCATCAGAAGCTTCTCTACGGTTATAAAGCTCTGTGAACCAGGCCATACTCCCTGCGGTTTATGTTCAGCTCAGAGCTGTGCCAGTTAGAAGCTAAACTTCCTCTTCTACATTGAATCGATTGATTACTTTGCCTCTCTTTATGCTTCTTACCTCCCCTGTTTCCTCTCATTTTGTGTATCTGAGTCCTCTCTTGCTCCTCATGCTCCTCTGGCGACATACTTTCTCTGAATGATTGTTGATCTTGTAATTCCTAGCTAAAGTATGTTCTACCCTCTCCTACGTCTCCCCCTCAGTATGCTCTCCTCATCTGCTAATTTTCACTAGTCTCCCGAGCCCAATTCTCCTTCCTCTCGCTAGAAGCCTAGACACTAGATCACACAATCGTAAGTATGTCAGTCTAGCGTCTAAATCTCTAATGTAATAAGAAGGTCCTTCAAGAGCTAAATTTGCTAATTGGGGCTACACTACCCAACATTTTTGTCGCAGATCAAGCATCAGACACATCTGTTGGCTCTAAATTATGGTTCTTTTGCTGGAACTATTTCCTACTGCCATTTCCCTATCGACCTTCCAGCACCTAGACGTGATCCTTAAGCACTCCACGTTCTTTTGATTCCACGGACCCATATATAAAAAACTGTCTGTTGTAGTTGTTCGTACTGCGAAGCTTCTAATATGCTCTGTTAGCTTTTAATTCTGCCGCATGTGCAACCAGCAGCTTGATGTGTAAAACATTTGAAACACTGTGATATATTTGCTGCTTACTTTTGATATTTCGAATTTGTGTGTTGCTTCATCCGGCTAGCTGCCTGCTTTGTAACGCTGTGCAATTCCTTTCTCACAGCGAGTCACTTCTTTTGCTCCTTTAAGACTATATGTTGGTAGTAACACGATGTTTGATCAATTTCTGCACGCGAGGCTCTGATAATTGTAATCCGGGACATAGCGCTTTAGTTTGTCTGCAAATCTAGATATCAGCTTAAAATGCTGTAGCGACGACTTGTCTTGTCGAGTCTCTAATCAAAACATCATACTTGGCCTTCTGTCTTGAGGAATATCTTTTGCTCTAATTGATCCCCATCTCGACTGTAGTTGTGAATATTTCATTGATGATTTTACTTCGTCTAATACTATTTTTGCATGAACCGAAAAATTTCATCTCTTTCTCTTATCTAGCGAAAGAGCATTTTCTCCTCTGGCTCTAATTCGCTTCTTCTTACTCCGACTCAATATAAACCATGACTCTCTGCAAGAGCTACTATCTAGGTCACTTCTCTCCTCTTTCTATACAGCTTTTACTCACATCCCCACAATCTTACTGTCTAGATGGCTCTTTAAATCGAAAATCTATCACTTACTTAGCACTATCGCCTTGAGCCTGCTCTTCTGCTTTAAACTTTATACTACTACTCGCGGTCCCTCTCTCGTTTGAACTGTAAGTAAACTGGCCCGCATTCTTCATTTCGTCTTATCTGCACTCTTTAGTCTTGCCTCTATTTGCTCTAGCTCTTTATCTTCTCCGCTAATCTACTCCATCTAGATCGATCTTTCTACTTACACAATCTACTTCGACTAGAACCTTTACCACTCTCGTACCCTTGCCCAACACATTTGCAATATCCCCCAATCTTTCAGAAAAGAAGCTCCACCAAGTTCGTCTCGGGCGCTTGAATTCTACGTTCTCGGAAAAGACGACCATAAAACATGAATAGCGCGTTGTTTTCCTCGGCTGAAATACAAGCTCTCCGATCTGTGTGATTACTCCTATGGAAACAGCGGTCAATGATGATTGGGAAGTTGTTCGATAAACGGATACAATGTACTGTCATGCTGTTTTTTGTCTGAAGCAGAAGCACTCGAATAATTATAAACATCTAGATGTTGGGATTTGCAGCTGTCTTGAGCTGAAACCGGCAAGCACTTTCGAATAGATCTATTTGGATGCAGGAATAGTGGGATACAGATCTATTTTATTGTTCTTTTGGTTCCTTCATATATCTTTCTGCTATTAAATGATGCTCTGCACTATTCACGAACTATCAAGCTTATATGAGAGTCACCGTGATATTCAGTAGACACGTCCTCTTATGAACCACCTCGAACGATGTCGAACCAGGTTAGAACATTCAAAGCGACATATAACACTAGAGAGTGATGGCATATCAAGATTCAGAGAGACCATAGATTTAATTGAGTCTATAACTATAGTGGGATCTGAAGGAAAGCCCCAACGATGAGGTGGTCGGGGTGAGCTGGAATAGAGTTGCGTTCTTGAATTCGACATACAGATTTTTTATCAAGTAGAACAGGATCACATAGCGCAGCCTAACTGAATCCTTATTAATTGAAGATTCCCAAGATAGAGAGGCATAACAGTCAATACGACGTCCATAAATTCCTCACTGCTTACTTCCCCTGCGCAAGAACACCTTGACCCACAACCACAACTCGTATATGACACTGGAATACACTGATTTCTATATGGACATGAACCATCTAATTTTGTATTTCTGGAGTCTTAAGGCCATTCCCGGGGTTGGTGGGGTCTTCCTGAGGTTTGGCTAACTCAGTAATTCTTGCAATGTAAGTTCATTTTCCGGGGCCTACAGTGTAGGTGCGGGGTCAAAATGCCCCTCATCAAGCCTGAGAGACGCTATAATACAGCAGGACACACTGAAGCAATAAACAATTTTGAAATCGCCTTGGACTTGAAAACCATCACTACTGGGCACTGCACAATCTCGATTTGGCATATTAATATACAAAACTTATACTTCTATCTTCAATAGTGCAGTTCTCTAGATCTAATGTACCTATTCTCCAAGACGTATTCTGCTCCATTATATGTAAAATTTTAAGAGCATATTCTTTAGGTATCTTTTCTGATGGCATGTCACCAGTAAGACTTTCTTGAATGAAATCCACATCCTGCTCAAGAATCTTGAACACCGTAGAGACTTTCTCTGCATTCTCAATTCGCAACGGACTTTTCAGTCTCACCTACCCCCTAACTATCTCATTTGCCTCGTCGTCGGCATTCCAAACACGAAACGTACACGAAAATTCGCGTAAAATTTTCATCTCAAATTATTAAAATAAGAATAAAATCCTTAATATAAATTGTCTCGATAATCTATTAACACTTGGGGATACAGTTATGATGGAGGCTTTTTCTGAAGTCTTTATTATATCAAACACTTATTCTATTATTATTCTAGATATTCTAATATCTTTAAGTCTTCCCCCACCTTTTGAAAATTCTCAATTCAAAATCTCTAGCCTTATTCTATCAATTAATCAGCCAATTAGTTTTGGAAGAAAAATTGAAGAGTTTAATTTATTTAGTAACCTCTTTATTATTTAAGATACAATTAATATTATCTATATATTCAATTAGAATAAGAAACGGTATTTTATAATACCCCTTAGCAATTAGAATAAATAATCTAGAATACAAAATAAGATAATTATATCAAAAAAAATGATTCTAAAAATAAAAGATTTTATAATTCTAGCCTCAACTCTTTTTCAATCATGTAATAAACAATCAAAGTTATTAGATTTTCTAAAGATCTTTAAAGAATATATTGAAAAAGGAAAACTTATTATAACCTCTAATATTATTATATTCCAAATCATTCATTTTAAATCAACTATATAGAAAATCGAATCCCAAGCTAAAATACTAGTCAAAAATCTAATCCTAATTACTATAATACTAACTAAATCAACTTTTATAATTATAGTAAAAAAAGGAAAATAAAATCTAATTAGTAAAGGAAAAGTTATTAAGCCTATTTCAATAAACAAAAAGATTGAAATCACTCAAAGACACCTAATCCTGATCAAACCAAAAATCCCAAATTCTATTTTCTTCTTCTTCTTAACTATTTGAAACAAAATAAACGAAGTCTTTTAAAAGAATGGAATTAAAGAGCCAATTATTATAATAACTATTTTATTCTTTAATAATAATATTATTATTACAGTAAACAATCTCTTTACATTATAATTCCTTTTAGAAAAGAAAACTATTTGAAATAATATTTGTTAGAATAGAAAAAGATGTTTGTTACTAGCATACTGCTTAGTATCATATATATGATTTCCAACACTCCCCCTTAAGTAGTATGCCCTACAGCTCTTCCTTGGAGCTAGCTTCTACGCTTCTATGCGGAGCTGACCGGTTCCAGTTCCGGTTGCATACAAGTGGGTGTGTGGATCTTTTTCTATCCAATCTCAAGTTGCCGGATGTGGGTCCTTGTGTTACGATCTCATATCGTACACTCTACCACTGCGCCATCCGGGCTCATAACCTGTTAGAATAGAAAAAGATGTTTGTTACTAGCATACTGCTTAGTATCATATATATGATTTCCAACAATATTATTAAATTCGAAAGAATTCAAAAGGATCAAGAATGATATAAAGTTATTATCCACAAAATCCC